CCTCGCATGGCCAAGGCCCCCGTAAACTTGTAGATAGACTACCCTACAATTTTTTGCACATGCCACCCCTCATGTTTTTCGTGTATGCTCCTCCAAACGCTTGCTTGCGGACCCTCCCCCAAATCCTGCCTTGCAGATCCTGCCCTAAACTCTGCAGATCCTTCCCTAAACCCCCCCTTTTGCATTCCAAACCCTGCCCCGCAGATCACTCCCCAATGCCTCCTGCAGCACAAATTCCTATTCTTCGTGCGCATTTCCAGTGTTTTGGTGGTCCTGCAGGCCTCCCAACCCTTAGCCCTCCAGATAATGCCGCCCAAGCCTCCACCTGGCATAGTGCCCGAATAGTGCCCGAATAGTGCCCGAAATAGTGCCCGAAATAGTGCCCGAATGAACCCTTCATAGTGCCCAAATACATTTCCTTTCGTAAAGGAAGGAAAATCTCCTTTTTCTTCGCGAAAAATCATTTGGGCACTATGAAGGGTTCATTCGGGCACTAGTTCGGGCACTATTTCGGGCACTATTCGGGCACTATTCGGGCACTATTTGAAGGCGTCTACTATTCATGCACCGCAGCCTTGCCAAGTCCCTCCCAACACTTCTCCAGGCCTGAAAACCTCCGTCCAGGGCTTCCCTACCCTGCCACACTTTCGACGAGCTTTACGAGCCCATTTTCGGGGCCCGGAAAACAACAAAAAACGTAGGACACATCAGAGTACCCCTACAGTAAGTGCATGATTTTGCACGCAAGCCGTTTCAGTGCTGTTTAACATGTTGAAGGCATGTAAAACACCAAGTAAGTGCAAGGTTCGGCAGTCGCCACCGGGACATAGTTCGAAGTGCATGTTTGTTGCGCTTACATGGTGAATTGCTGTTCGGAGTGGTTAAGCAACCGGCGAAAGGAACACATTTGTGAGCTCCTTCTCTGCGGGGAAGTCTTTTGGTGGCGCCTGTCGACGACTGAAACCCACAAGACAATGCGGGAAAACATTTTGCCGTGGCACGGTTTCCAAGATGATGATCTGCGGTGTTTGTTTGCTGCAGGGCACAGGCCTGTCGTCCCAGGTCCTGTGTGCAGTTGGGGATTCCGCTAAACCGCATCAATCGGGATCCTCGGACATGCTTTTTTCTCCTGGATGCTCCACCCAGTGTGCAGCTGTTATTTGCGATTCCAACAGAACTGCTTGGTGCCTGCGAAAGTCGCAACAATCTCGCGTCACCTTGCGGAAACACACGGTCAAACCATACAATCCAATTCTTTGATGACGTCTTGCATGCTTTGTTTCGCAGCGTCAGCTTGCGGAAACACGTTGTCAAGCCATACAATCCACTTCTTTGATGATGTCTTGCATGCTTGTTTGCGCAGCATCACCATGCGGAAACGCATTGTCAAGCCTTGCAATCCAGTTCTTTGATGATGTCTTGCATGCTTGTTTGTGCAGCGTCACCTTGCAAAAAACATATTGTCAAGCCTTGCAATCCACTTCTTTGATGATGTCTTGCATGCTTGTTTGTGCAGCGTCACCTTGCGGAAACACAGTGTCAAACCACACAATCCGCTAATAGCGGTAGGATCGGTAGGTTTAAGTCGTTCCTGCCGGGGCGAAGTCGTCCCAACTCCACGTGCCGCAGGGTTTGGGCTAATTTTCCATATCTTTGTTCCCTTCTCCAGTCCTTAGTTTCTACGCGATGCAGCACTGTGCGCGGTCTTTTCTTGAATTTGGATATGTTGTGATGGCACTTACGCTTCGAGGTGGTGGCGTGCGAAATCGAGCCTCTACACGGCGAATGGCTGCGGGGATTCCACTGATATGTTTCTTGCGTAGGTACTTGCAAAATCGAGCGTCTACTTGGCAATTGGCTTGTTTTGATTTGGTGTCTGCTGCGATGCCACTGATGTCTTTCTGAGCGGCTGCTTGTGAAAGCGAGCGTCTACATGTGGACATGTGGATGGGCTGGTTTTGATTTGCTGCCGCCGATGTGTTTCTTGAGCGAGCGCTGGCGAAATCGAGCCGCTACATGGCGAAAGGTTGGTTTTGATTTTCTGTTTGCTGCGATTCCACTGATGTGTTTCGGCGTAGGCTTCCGTGTTTCAGTGGTGCGGAATAGCAGGATTTTCTGCTTTCACAAGCGACTTTCCTTTATCTTCTGCTGCTATCGAAAAGGGGTCTCGGTCACTCCGTTTGGTCGTGAATCAACACATCTATCTCCCTTCAGCGCACTCTTGTGCTTAGCACCTGTCGTATCAGGTTTCGCAAGCCGGTTGGTATGGCTTAAGGTTTGGGCTGGTGGTTTGATGGTGTATGTGACAAGACAGTGGCTCGGCAGGAGCAGCTCCACATGCCGATGTAACTCCAAGCAGCTCACGGGCTCTTTCTCCCCCAACTCCACATGCGAAATCGGGCGTCTACATGGGGATTGGTTGGCTTGTGTGTGCTATGATGCCACTGATGTGATCGATGTATGTCTCGCGAGTATGCTTGTGACTTCGCGCGGGGACCAAGTCAGCTTCCGAAATCGTATGTAGATGCGCTTGTACGCAATGGTTTGGTTGTTTCGTGCGGCACCACGCGTCGGCTCCATGCACTTGCGGCTTTCGCCATGCATCCTGCGAGGGGGACACGGGGACACCTTAAGACTTTAAGATGAGTGCTCCGTTTCCTGCTTGCTGTGCGGAAACGCTTCCACATCGAGGTGGAACAGGACCTACGTGGGCCAAGGCCTTCAAATCACATGTGGAGGTATCGGTCGGGGTATCGGTTTCAATTAGAAAGGGGTATCGGTCAACCTGCATGCAATTTCCCGAAAAACAGCTCATGGAGAAGAAATACAACATTATATAGGGTTTGCAGCCTCTTGAAGATCTACACTCGATACGTGCGCTTGGGGTTCGGGCGGCAGCGGCTTGAAGATCTATGCTCGGTACGCGGGTTTGGGAGTGCACGGGAGGCCTTGGGACCTCCGTTCCCCACTTGTCCCCGGAAGTGTGCACTTGCGGAAGGGTGCAATCACGAACCGCAGCACGCAGGTATAACTGCATGCATATCAGGGTCCGTTCTTCACCTGTCCCCGGCGGTGTGCACTTGCAGAAGGCTGCAAAAACGAACAGCAACACGCGGGCTTTCAAATGAGTTCTTCACTCTTGGGGGACGGTGTGCGGGAGGTGTGCCCCTGCGGAAACGGCAAATGCAAGGACTTTGCAGCGACCCTAGTCGTGGCGTGTGTGCAGATGGGGGAAGCATCCAACATGCGAAATGCAAGGACAAAGGCGCGTAGGAGTAAGAACTCCTTCTATGCGGCACTATGCGGGGAAGCTTTTTGGTTGTGGCGCCTGTCGACGACTGAAACCCACAAGACAATGCGGGAAAACATTTTGCGGTGGCGCGTTGAACAAGCTTGCTTGAGCTTCCACTAAGGGGTCGCAAGTGCATTGTTTTCAAGCCATGTTTTCAACACGTTGGAAGCATGTAAACACCAAATAAGTGCAGGGTTTGGCAGTCGCCACAGGGAAAAAGCACTGCCGATGTGAGCGCTGCATGTTGATAGTTGACCATGTAAGACTCCAACAACCCTTTGATGCATGTGCTTACATTGGGGAAACTTCGGTGTTTGCCCGCTGTTTTGTACGTCACTCCTAAAACGGTTTAAATCATCGCATACATGGGGAATCGCCTTCCGCGCTGATATTAACGCCGGTCTGGCTGTCATGGAAAATCATGGGAGTCTGGAACCGTAATGCAGGACAGTCCACGAAAAAGACATTGCCGATGCCGATGTGAGCACTGCACGCTTAAAATTGACAATGTAATACAATGTATGACTCCGACAACCCTTAGATGCATGCGCTTACATCGGGGAAGAGGCTTTCGGCCACTGTTTTTCGCGTCACTCCTGAAACCATTTGAATCAAGCGCTTACATGGGGAAAGGCCTTCGGTGCTGATATTACTGCAGGTCTGGGCGTCATGGATGTCTGGAGCTGTATACTGCAGGACTGTCTAGGCAAAAGGCACTGCCGATCTGAGCGCTGCACGTTTAGAATTGAGAATGTAAGACTCCAAAAACCCATAGATGCATGCACTTACATCGCGGAAAAGGTTTTCGGCCATGGTTTTTCGCGTCACTCCTGCAACAACTTTAAATCAATCGCTTACATGGGGAATGGCTTTCCGTGCTGATACTACTGCTGGTCTGGGCATCATGGAAATCTGGAGCTGCGATGCGAGATTGTCTAGGCAAAATGCAATGCCGATGTGAGCGCCGCACGTTGAAAGTTGACAATGTAGGACTCCAACAACCCTTAGATGCATGCGCTTACATCGGGGAAAAGGTTTTCGGTCACTGTTTTTTGCGTCACTCCTGAAACCATTTGAATCAAGCGCTTACATGGGGAAAGGTCTCCGTGCTGATGTTAATGCAGGACTGGGCATCATGGAAATCTGGAGCCGTAATGCAGTATTGTCCAGGCAAAATGCACTCATGACGTGAGCGCTGCACGTTTAAAGTTGACCATGTATGACCCCGACAACCCTTTGATGCATGCGCTTAGATGGGGGAAAGGGTTCCGGGCGCGACTTGTCGTGACTTCTTGAATCATGCGCTTACATGGGGAAAGGCCACCCGGGCACGACCAAGGCATGACTTTCGCAGTTGCTTGTACGTTCTAGTGCAGTCTCTGGCTGTTTCATTCATGGTGTAAGTCCTTCTCTCTCCAGAACGTGGCCTGGAAGGCCCAAGGCTGGCTTTCAGAACGCTCGAAAGTGCGCGCAAAGTCATGCAAAATCTTTCGGGCCGTACTTGGCAGGGTCGAAGTTCGCTGGGTTCACGTTTGGATTCTGCTAGATGTGTTCTGTGCCTCTCTTTCAGCAAGTTCCATGTTATTGCTTGTTGCAACATGGAAATTCGAGCTCTTGCAGTTGTAAACAAACTTCATCGGAGCAGCGTCGAAACGATTGTGGCGTGTATGCTGCCAGCGCCCACATGTGACCTTCATGTGGCTCAATTTTATGAGAGCGTCGCGCGTGGTTTGTCAGGAATGTCGATCCATAAACCTTTGAGCTTGCGAACTGTGCCGTTTTTGCTGATTTTTTCAATTGAAATTCCTTCATCATCTTCAATCCAAACTCTGCCTCCCGTAAAATTTCCGAGAGTGATGGCATGGTTCAATTCTCCAACCATATTTTGCATGTCCCGATGCAGTCCGATTCGAGGATTGAGCAGCACCGCTGTGGAAGTCCAGGTTCCGTTTGGAAAGCGATGTCGCATGAAACGGTTGACTGCTATGCATGCTTCTTTCATCGAGGAAGCCCTAGACACGTTCGGAGCATTGCCTCCAAAAGCATAGAGGCCTAAAGTGCAGTACCGCTCATATGCTCCTGTTCCAATGGCTCGTTGTCGACCCCACCATTTCCATTGTGGCGACCACAGGTCAAGCAAGGCCACCAAGTGCTCTTCGGAAGGCGCCTGCATGACAGCTTCGCATGCGGACGAAAGCTCGGTCATTTTTGTTCATGCTGGAAGATTAGGGTGGAGGTACGGGTCCGGGATTGAAGTCTCGAAGCTGGCGAATGGCAAGGGGCACGGGAGGTCGGGTCAGTTTGGCTTTGGGTTTGGCGCTGCCTCTTGGAACTGGAAGTGCATGTTTCAGCAGAGTTTCGGTTCCATCTGTGGCTCGAACAACCATGGAATCAATGCTGGCAACATCGCGAGCAGGTCCGTACTGCGGTTCGAAGCTTCTTCTTGCATTTGTCGGAGCTCTGAATGCGCCCGCTTCTTCCAATCGGCGTTTGCGACCTTCCGTGAGCTCCTTGTTGTGCTGGAACTTGGTTGCATTGTCTTGATAGACCCGGAACGTTGTCGCCGGCTGCGTCTCCACGTCCTCGGGCGCCGCGTGCACCGCCTGGTGCGGTCGGGCATTGTAGGCCTCCGTCACGTTCTCCACGTGCTCGCCCCATCCGCCGCCGTCCCGAGCCACCTTTCCCGCCAGATCCTTCTTCAGCGTTTGAATGGCCCGGTCGACGACGGCCGTGGCGTTGCGGTCGCTCGGGTCCTTCTGCCGATGCACCACGCCTCCGGGCAAGGCTCCTTCCAGGCCTTGGAATTCGTTGCCTTGGTCCGTCGTGACTACATAGTTCCTCTCGTCTTGCACCAGATCGGGAATGATTTCTGCGGCCGCTTGCGTCACCGTTTCCGCCCGCTTGTCGGGCAGCGCCTTCGTGGCCACCTCTCGGGTGAACACGTCCGTGACCACCAGCCCGAACTTGTTCCGGCTCCGGGTGTTTTGGCCGGGCTATTTGGAAAAGCTTTCGGGGGTCTCTGACGTTGAAGTCACGGGCCAGCCGCCCGAGGAGCTCCATCGCGCCGTCCTCTGCCATTTCTAATCCGAGTCGCCCTTGCGCCCCTTCTTCCGCTCAAGCTTGTCGACCCGCTTTTGCAGCTTCTTGACCACGCCCCAGAGCACCACGGAGAGCTTCTGATAATCGAGGGCCATCAGCTCCCTCCCGTCCAGATTCTTCGTTTTGCACATGGTCTCTCCTAGTTTCCCGCTGGCTTGTACGTCCTGGGCCACGAAGCCGATCTGCTCCTTGCCGCCGTCGATGCGGTCGAAGATCTGCGCCTCCACCGCATCGAAGGTCTGCTGCAGCTCCTCCTCCGGGATGGCCCGGACGTTCTGTTTGAGCGCCCGGTCGCTGAGGTTGACAAACCCATACCCAAAGATGACCTCGCCGTTGTTGCTACCCCCGATATTGGGCTCGATGGCCAAGTTGGCCAACCCTGAGGTGTTGTTGAAGCTTATGAACTGGAACTGCGCGTTCAGCTCGCAGTTGCCGCCCGCCAGCACCTTGAGCTCCGCCACGCCGCCCTGATTGTTGGCGTCGAGGAGCAGCTTGGCATCCCCCGTCGCAGCCGCATTCCGCACCACAACGCCCACCGTGCCGTCCGTGGGCCCCACGGCGATTTGCTCCAGCAGCGGGCTGAGCACTTGGACTCCACTGGTGCCGCCCGACAAGCTCAGGAAGGGCAGGCTGGCCTCGGGGCCCAGCACCCCGTTGATCCGCACGGTGTCGTCCATCAGAATCCCATTGGTGCCCCCCTGCACCGTGAGCCAGGGCGCCGCCGGATCGGCGCGCACCAGGGGCGCTTCGAGCCTGAGGTCGCTCGTGATCTCCTGCGTGGCCGTCACCGAGCTGCTGCTCGCAAAACTCCCCGTGGCAGCGGTGCTGCCGACGAAAAACTGGGCGAAGTCCGCCGTGGTTGCATTCAAAGTGCCGTCCGAGCGCACGGTGATGTCTTGCTCCAAGCCGATGCTTCCGGCAGCGAAGGAGGCCACCAATGTGCCGTCTTCGGCGCGGATGGTGGTGGTGGCGTTCCGGAGCTGCAGATCTGCAGCGGCGCTCTGCAGCAGTGGTGTCTGCACGAAGCTCGTTGCTGTGAGGCTGTTGACGGTGAGGTCCGCCGTGGGGTCCACTCCTGGGCTGTTCTCCAGGTCGGTGACGCGCTGGCCCAATTGAAGTTGGCTATCAATGGATAGCGGGTGTCAGACTGTCCCTTGCTGATTTGGAGGGTCGACCCATTCCCCAGGATGGGCTGGGCGGAGAGGGGCGATTGGCACAGAAGGTTTCTGATGATGCGAGGGGTGAACTGGGTCTGGGCCAAATTGAAGATCCCACCGCCCTCTGCACCGGGGCTGTTGACGAAGTAGCGGGCATCCAAAGGTCCGAGGTCGTTGGTCCTCAGGAATCGGCCGTCTGCCTCGGCCTTGGTCCAGGAGTCGCAGCGGAGCCGCAGCGTACTTTGATTGCCCAGAATTGCGTCGCCCACCAGGGGCGCCTCCAGCAGCAAATTGCGGATGATCCTGGGCGTGAATTGCTCCTGCACCAAGTTCCAAATCTGCCCCGACTCTGCGCCGGGAGCCCGCACGAAGTAGCGTAGGTCCGCATCCGCCTGGGTCTGAAAGCCCGCGCCGGCGATGGCATCGTCGATCTCCGTTTGGGTGCGCCCTGACGTCCAGTACTGCGTGAAAGTGGCCGTGAGCAAAGAGTCCAGCTCGGTTCGGGGGTAATATGCCAGCAGCTCGTTGGCCACGTAGGCCTGCGTCTGGGCCTGGTCGTAGTAGGCGGAGAGATCCACGTTGCCCAGGGCGTTGGCTATCTGCTGGTCTACTTCGGCCCGCGTGTAGAAGTCCAGCAGAGCAGTTATTATCTTGCTGTCGACTTGACCGGAATCATCATAGCTCGACAGCGCCGAGCTGATGCTGGAGCTGACGGAGGCATTCGTTGCATAGTTGGCCAGCTCTCCCGCCACGAAGCTCGAGACCTCGGCTTGGGTCCAATAAGCCAGCAGGGCCTGGTCGATCAGGAACTACACCCCCGCAGCGTCCTGGTACTGCCCGACGTTCAGGGCAGCGATGGCATCGGAGATGGCGGTGTTCATCTCCGAAGTGCTGCTGTAGGCTCCCAGGGCGTCGGCGATGGCCGTGCCCACCTGCACCGTCGTGCTGTAGGCGGCCAGGGCGGCCAGAATTTCGTTGCTGACCCAGGCCTCGCTGGCGAGCGGTGCCAGCAGGGCGTCCGTCTCCTCGCGCCTGTAACTGTTGCAGGCGAAGCTGAGGGTCCAATTGTCGTTTGCAAGCTGGATGCTCAGGGGGCCCGTGGCGTGCAAGTTGCGGATCTGATTGGTCCCGGCCAGCAGGTCCCAGGTAATCTCGCCGGGCCAGGCCGGAGCGTTCACGAGATTGGTGGCTCCGCCGAGCGTGGCGATCTCCGCCAAGATGGCATCGATGCATGCCTGCAGCGCCGTGATCTCGCTGGGCAGGGCAAAGGGCCCCGCGCTCTGCAGCGCCAAGATGTCGGCGTCGTGGCCGTCCAGCCTGCCGTCTCTGACCGCCAGGGCGGCGTCCAGAGCCGCCTGCTGGACGTGGGCCAAAAGAGCGGTGGCGACCCGCTGGTCCACGTCGGCGGCTGTTTGCCGGGCCGCCAGATCGATCGCCAGCTTACCACCGATTTCAGGGCGTAGTTTGCAGCAACAGTCGCCAACGTTGCGTTGTTTGTGGAGGCGATGCTGCTGTTCATCGCAGCCGTCGTGGGATGGGTGGCCAGCTTGAGGTCTACCGAAGCGGGCGTGCTCTTGCCATTGACCTCCACCTGAAGAGCATCCAGAGCCGACTGGTTTGCCTTGCCCGCCAGGCCCTGGGTCAGGCTCGTATTGACGGCCACGAGGCCGGAGGCGTTTGCCGCGATGGAGCCCTCTGCTGCGGCGAGGTCCGCGGCCAGAGCGTAAGGAGTCAGATCCGGAGCTGCGGGCAGGGCGGCCACCTGGCCCTGCAGAGCTGCGATGGCGGCGGCGTTGACTCCGATGGCCGCGGTGTGTGCCGTGTGCTCTGTTTGCGGGGTGTAGGCTGTGAGGACTGTGGCGAGCTGCCCGGCGGAGATGCCCTGGAGCTCGATGACCGGTGGTGCCGTGACGCCGTCGTCGAGGATCCGCCCGGTCAGGGTGGAGGGAAAGAGTGACATTTATCTAGTGCCCCCGGGCTCTGCGCCGCCGGTCCAGGCTAGCGGTGTTCGAACAGGGCAAAAAAGGTGAAACAAATCGCTCAAAACGCCCATATCACTAGTCGAGGACTGAGACGCCGGACCCTGAAACCGTGACGATCTGATATGAGAGGAGGTGGATGTATATTCTTTGGACCCGGTCCGCCTGCATGTTCTTAAACGAAAACCTCGCAAGGTCGCCGGAGCGTGTGCTGATGCCGCTCAAGGGGTGTTTCGGGACCCTTTCCACGGGGAAGGCGCAAATGAATTGATTGTTGTTCCACAGATTGTCGGCGATTCGCATGTTCTTGATGCTCGAATCGTAGGTTCCGGCCAAAATCTCGAGGAAGTGGAAGTGCTCCGCGTCGCTGGCCATAGGGTATCTGGGGTACTGGAGCGCCCCCAATTGCATCTGGGACTCGAGGGAGTTCGCCGAGAACTGGCTGCCGTCGCCGGGGTGCTCGAAATTGGAGCACTCGCCGAGCAAATCGTCCGAGTCCCGGAAGGTGACGAAGGCCCCTAGCAGCTTTGTGAAACTTCTAGCTACAGTAACGGCGAAAGAAGTGCTGCCGGCGGGGATGCTGGAGACCTGCGTGTGCATCGTGGGATACGCGAAGACGAGGCTGCGGCCCGAAAGGAGGATTTTTTGGTAGCTTTCGTACAATGCCGAGTCCAGGGTGACCTGACTGGCCAAAACTCGGACGTTTTCGATGGTGCAGGGCGTCGGCGGCCTCTGCAAACTCCAGCTCCAGCACCAAGTTCAGCTGAGGGGGCAAGAACTTGCCGGCTTGGAACATCCCGATGAGCGTGGGCGCCATCAGGACGTCCTTGAAGTTCTCCGCGGGGATGGGCGCCGGGGTGCCTCCTGCGAGCTCCCAGAAGCCCGTGATGCCCTTGTTTCTAAACCATTCGGCCGGTTTCAGTAGCGAGTACAGGTGGCAGCTGCGCCCGTACTCGGAGATGTCATCGCAGCGCTGGCCGTTCGCGAAGAGCTGGACCCGCTTGATGAAGCACGAGGGTTCCTGGGTGCCGGGGTTCAACTGCAGAGTCGTCGAGTTGTTGCGCACCCGGAAGGCGATCTTGACGCTCTCTGGATCGATCAAATCCATCCCGGAGGTCAAAGGTATTCTTGCCACTCGGGATGTGGTGGGAGTGAAGGTACTGAGCGAACTCGGGAAATACTGGACGTCTTTTCGACTCTGAATGTAGTTCACATTGGATGAACCCAATTTGTAATCGAGGCTCTTGACGAGCTCGTCTTGCACCGCTTCGATGACGTTTTGCATGACCCTTTACTATACCTATGCAAGTTCTGGTTCGTTCCTCAACTGGTCGAACGACGGCTGGGTGCCGAGAGGCCCGCGGTCCGAGCGGGACTGGCGGCTGATGCGGTCGCTGTCGGAAGAGACCGGGATCGGGACGTTGTTGAGCCCGAAGGGCGTCTGTGCCTGGGGCTGCTGCCGGCGTCGCACCGGGCGGGCCACGATGCGTTGCTGCGGCTGCGCCTGGGGCTCCTCCTCCGAGGTGTTGATCCTGAAGACCTGCGGGCGCTGCTGCCGGCGCAGCTCCTCACGGCGCCCGATTCCTGCATCCCATTCAAGGTCTGCACATCCGTTGCGCGGCTGGCCCTTGAGGCGTCTGAGTCCGTGCCGCCGCCCGTGGCTGCTCCCCAGCCGCCAGCCCATCATGTGCGAAGCAGCGTTCAACCCTCCTTCGATGGCCCAGGCCGTTCCCACGAGCGCTGCGCCTGCGCCCGCAACGGCCAGGCCTCCCGCCGCAGCGCCCACCGTTCCCGCGGCTGCGAGGGCTCCCTCACCCAGGAGCGCAAGAGCTCCTCCACCCACTTCCGCCGCAGTTGCTCCCTGCCGCCGCAGCCTCCGCCGCCGTGGCAAAGCCTTCCGCAGCTTCCGCCTCTGCCATCTGCTGCGATGCAAAAGCCTCGATGTCTTGGGCGGCCGCCCGCTCGACCTCCACGGCTCTCTGGCCCGCCTGCTCGAGCAGGGGCTCCACCTCGCTGGGCCTCCCGATGATTTGCGGCGCAGGGACCGGCGCCAGTCCAGGCGGCCTCCTGGGGATCCTCAGGGTTCTGTCGAGCCAGTCGCCTCCGCCCCTCAAAATGTTGAAGGTCTGGTTCTCGGCGACGCTTCGGGTGCCGCCGCAGCGCCCGCAGCGCCTCCGGCGATGATCGCTTCCGCGGCTTGAATGCCTGATTCCCTCATCCGACCTCCGAGGCTCGGTGGCCTCGGTGCATCGAGCCCGTCGTTGCGGAGGGCCTGGCCTGGATCCATGCCTCCGTCGTCGGAGTCCGGCAGGAAGCTGGGCCGAGTGAACTCGGGCGGGCGGGGAAACGGAGTTCCGGAGTAGCCCTCGTCGGCCGTTTCAAAAGCAGCCGCCGGGTTGATCTGGGTGTGGGGCATGGGCGCCTCGCTGACGGGCTCGGGTGCGTTGGGGTAATCATCGAGATAGAAGTGACTGGATGTGTAGATGCTCGCTTTGCGATTGGGCAGGTCCAGGTTCAGGGGCTCGCCCTCTTGGATGAAGCCTAAAACCGCTAAATCACTCAAGTCGGCGGTCATGCGACAATTGAGGTCTATTACCAGCATGCCAGTGCATAAAACACGCATTTCAGATGACAAGTTGCTTGATATGTTTGGTCTGCAGTCTCCGATTGCTATGTTGTTACATTCTACAACTAAAGAGCTGGAGAACGCGAAGGTGGTCTCATCGTATGTGGATGGTCAGGAGCCTTACGTGCTGCAGGACATTGCTTCGTTAAAGAGTGTTGTTGATGCTCTTCGAGGTCTTCATTCTGAAATGCAGCCGCTACCTGATGTGCACGACGATGCAGGTGACCATGCTGAGGAGCAACTTGCAATTGTTTCAGGTGGCCATTCGAACACAGATCAACAGCTGTCAGGAGAGCAAGATCTACCATATCGGTGTGAGTTATGTCAGGATGCGTTTGAAACGCAACGGGCCCTCAGAGTGCACAAGTGGTGCAAGCATCGTGTGAAGGAGAATACAGCAGTGTTTGATAAACAACGGCATTCAATGGAAGGCCTGCCTATATGTAGGTATTGCCGTCAGAAGTTTACACGATGGTCAGGGCTTGAAAGACACATCGTCAATCGCCGATGCACTAAACTTCCCATTGAGACTGATGTTGCTATTGAGATCATTGAAACAGAAAAACCTCACACAAGTGCTGATGCAGACTCTGTTCCAGTCATCCTGCGTTCGTGTATGTCGACCATGGCTGAGAACCCGGCGACTATTCACGACATGCCTGAGATTGCAGCACACTTATTACATCATTGATTGTGGAGTGTGTAACCAATGGCTGGTTTCCCCAGGTCTGATGAAACAGCATTACCGCTACACTCACAAGAAGGAGTTTGACCTGCTGCAGTCCCAATGTGAATCATTGCTTAAATCCGTTGTGCGCGGATGCATCCAAAGCCTGGAAACGTCACAAATGCACGGTGGCTTGGCAAGTATCGGCTTTGAGTAGTTTAGTGAATGCTGGGTACCATGGAGACGCCGATGGATCAAATCATGGAGATGTTCGGCGCGGTAAATCCCAATCCTCATCTACGCAAACGAGAGTCTCAGGAAGAGCCGACACAAGCAGCAGCAAAGTTCATCAAGGGCAAGGGCAAGGGCAAAGGAAAAAAAGGAGGCTTCGGACCAAGTCCACAGCAGCAAGGCTCTTTCGGTCCCCCAGTCCGATACCATCAAAGCCCATTCGTAACCACGCCAGCAACAACATCAACGATGGATCAAGAGCAGTGGGAGCAGTACATGCAGACTCTGCTTGCAGCGGTAGCTCGGCTTGCGCTACGGGTGGACAACGAGGTCCAAGTCCTCAAACAAGACTTCAGCTTGGTTCTATGGATGAGGCCAGGCGAACATACTGCACTACAGATGATGTTCAACAAGGCCAAGGAGTGGAAGGACAAAGCCATGAAAACCGATGTGGACGAGACTCCCACGTTGCGAACAACGCTTGCAATCGCCATGGTTCAGGAAGTGATCAACCGAGTAGGGCAAGTGGCAGGGGATGCGGACAAAGCCCGCAAACTTCAGGAAGTGGGGTGGAGAGATCCGACAACGGGTTGGCCTTACCAAAAGTGGGATCCGGAGTCCAAGATGCTCGTGACGGTGTCGGAGCGGGCACCGTTGAAGGATATGGAAATACTCCAGCTCTTGGAAGAATTGAAGACGAAGCTGCTGGGGCAGACCGTCATGAGATTCCACTCAACACGACCATTATCGTCCGACATGAAAGGATTGGCCACGTTCCTGCTCGAGATCAGCCAAAGATCCAAAGAAGCACAGCGCGCATGGGAGCTTCTACATGTTCTCATGGGTTCATCGGTGTGGCAGCTGACTGCGGTTCAGTACAAGCGCGAGGGTTGGAAGAAATCGATCCTGAACAAGATGGTGCGAGAATACTTGGGACAGTGCCTCAACTCATTCTTTCAAACCCCCAGAATTTCTGCTACATGCATGCGCTCATTCAGTGTTTGTCATGGTGCGTGGCTAGGGCCTTTCATCCAGATTGGTGTACGGGATTCGGTCGAGGTGAGAAGGCATGGCGACTTTTGCTTGCCAAAACAGGCCAGCCGGTGCACATTTACCACATGATGCTATGGAAGATCCTACTGTTTAACTGGCCATACCCTGATCATCAACATGATGTGTGTGAATTCTTTTCCTTTCTCAGTTCGCGAATACAGGTTCCGTGGCTATGTGGAGTATGGCAAGCCAGGAGCCCCATGGCAGGGTTACCAGCTACAGTGATGGAAGTGGGCGATTCGGGCTCCGAGGCGATTACATTATGGTTCCACGAATGCTCACTGCGCGAGTCTCATTCTTCACATTCTGGGGACTCTTTGCAGTCCATGCTAGATAGATGGAGTCAGCAAACTCACGTATGTGCTTTCGTACATCCTCCTCATGTTCTCGCGTTGCGTCTGGAGCGGACAGTTCAGTCGGAGCAAGTGGGTATTGTGAAACATGAGTTCAGGTGCTCATTGGAGCATCCTCGATTGCAGATTCCTCAGTTCATGAATAATCAAACTGATGTGCAACATTGCTCTTACGAGATCGTGGGTGGTATATGTCATCATGGACCAACATATTCATCTGGACACTATCAGGCTTTTCTCTATGCTCCAGCGAGGGGCGTATGGATTTGCGATGATGACAGGCCTGCGGTATTCCACATGCGAGCTCCGGAATGGTTAGAACGCAAAGTTTACATGATCTTTGCTCGCAGGAGCGGTGAGTGAATCCAGACATGCATCATGCTTCTTGTACAGAGTGCTTTTGGTGAATTGGGATTCGCTGCACTGGAGTTGTGATGGTAGTTTGATTCGCTTGTGCATCTATGGAGTGCATTTTGCACTTGTTCCTACAATGTTAGTAGCGCTTTGTGTGATAACACATGAGCGAAATTAGGCACGCTTCGAGTTCTGTACAGTTCGCTTGGCTCTTCGGGGCGGTTCTGTTGTTGCCAGTCCAAGAGACTGTGTTACTGAGTTGACACAGTGTGCTACTTCAAGTACCGGGCATAAACATGCCTGCTCAAGACCTGCCGCTTGGCAGCTTCGACGCTGCTGCGATCAAAGTGAAGCCTAAACCCTGACCAAAGCTGGGCTTGACGCGGAAGCCATTGCTTCGGCGCTCCTCCATTTACTTACAACAGCCCGCCGTAGACCTGGGAGTCGCTCGTGCCTCTACCAGCGGCCACGTCCCGCGCCATCCTGTGAACGCCCTGGCGCTCCGCGGGAGCATAGCGCAATTGGGGGATGCGGCGGTTGACCACCTCCGTCATCCGGCCGAGCTCGTCGGCGTAGGTCTCGCCCTCTTGCCGCAACCGGCGTTTGGAGAGCCACTCGTTGAAGGCCTGCGCCTCAAGCACCTCGGCTCAAGTTTTGTTTGTAGTGTTTGGGCGGGGTAGTCTTTGCAGTTCCCTGGTCCAGCGCTGGGCGCACCCGGCTGGTTCAGGAGGCGCAGTGGGCTGACCTACTGTGACGTAGTGGAGGGAAGCCATTGGTAGCTCCAGCTCTTGCGGTGCCTCTGGAGTGCCATACAGATCGTGCAGTGAGTGCATCCGTGTTCCAGGAACACCCAACAATTTCCGGCTCTGCATTCATCCACGCATGGTTTTTACATTGCTGCTGATTTTTCTGTTACATTGGAGAACTTTTCTGGACAGAACAGACGGCACTGAAGCCCCACCTGGCCACTACGCTACAGGAGAGATGGAAGAAGCATTCGAATGCCTACTGGCATCAGAACCTGGAAGTGGTAGCAGAGCGCATGCGAGCGCTGACAGTGTTGCAGAGGCCACGAGAAGGGCCACTCCAATATTGGAGAGATCCATATCTGAAGCTCTGGACACTGGGCAGCTGGCATTTTACCTCTGTTTCAGAGGCGTACCCCAACGGGCTATCACAGACATCGGGATCCATGTATATTTTAAACAGTACGCAAACCCAGATGCTACAGCGCGACGTGAGATCACTGGGCAACTGGAACGTGAGATCAGCGGGAAAGACATGGCAGGAACCCTGGAACTGTTTCGCCAACTTTTGGAGGGAGACCATCGTGAGCAGTTTTATGAAGACATTTACAAGCTGCTGGAGCGACATGTGCGTAGCATGCAGAGACCGACTCCGCTTGAAGACTTGTTGCTTCCTCTGCCCGAAGCAAGTAACACACCCGAACCTTGCTCCCCTTCAACAGTTCTGGACTCTGACTCTTCGGAGTCGAACGCCACGCTACCCTACTGCTGACCCTAAGCCCCAGCACTATCTACCTTCTCGTCACGTAGCTCTGTTGGTACCGATGATGTTCAAATGCAGAGGCGCGAAGCTCAGACTTTACACGTGCTGTGGGGCTATCACATGGTTCTGGTTTGCCTGTTACGGGTTCTCCAGGTTATCGAGATTCTACGGCAAACGCGGCCATGCGTCGCTGCACAGATGCAATGTACAGAGGCCCCAAAATGCACATCCATCTACGCCCCAGTATCCTGCAAACGCCCCACCCCTCTCTCCAGGAAGAATGAGCCGCCTCGGTCCCAAGTCCGAGGCTAGCAGGCCGGTGAAGACATTAAACTTCAGTGGAATTGTGCGTGTCATGCTGCTCTGGATAATCGCTGCACAATTTCTGTCTAAGCCTGCTAGTGGTGCGAGGGTTGCTGCTGCTTCCACAACAGCAGCTGGAGTCGAAGCACATCAGGCTCCATCGAGCTCGCTGCCTCAGGCGGCGAAGCCCTGTGGGACCCGTGAAATCAGAGCGCAACCGGCATATAGCAACGTCAGGAAACGTGCCTTTCGGCGCGCGCTTGTGCGCGCAGGCGCAAGGCTCCACCATGTATCGAGGACGTAGACTTACTTGGCAACAGCTTGCGGGTGCCAGAGGTCCTGCCGAACCAGCCGCACAGCCTGGCAGACACAGGCGGGAAGTAAGGCAAGAGTGCAGTGAGAGTCCGCATTCTCCTTGCATGATCAGTTGGAATGTGGGAGGGCTCTCGAACTCCATTCTTGATGAACTTATCATCTGGCTTGAAACTCGTAAACACATCAAGATTGTTCTGCTACAAGAAACACGGTGGCAGTTTAGCTCGGAATGGTCCAGTGAGCATTGGAACATCATACATGCCGGAAACACCAAACAAAAAGGCTCGGGAGTCATGACCATGATTTCGAAGTCGCTGTGCAGTGCTGAAGACATCAGAGTTCAGGAGATTGTCTCGGGTAGGGTGCTGCATACGCGAATCCCGGGATATGGAGGCCATAATCACATTGACTTGCTCAATGTCTATCAGCATGCGTGGGACCAGCGCGCAGAGGCGGGCGAACTGAAGCGCAAACGCGCGTGGATCCTTGCGAAGATCGATGCGTGCATTCAGCAGATTCCTTGGCGCAACTTGTGCATATGTGCAGGGGACTGGAACGTCCAGTTGGAGCCGATGTCTGACCTGATTGGTAATAGCACTAACATCCGTGTGGGACAAGCGCAATCTGCCCCGGATATGGCGTCCCTTACAGATGTCATGATTGCACGCCAATTGGTGGGTTTGAACACTTGGACGGGGCCCAAACGCAAGGCTTACACCTTTACACACAATGGGGGACGCACCCAGATTGACTTTGTTTTTGCTCGCAAGCACCAGGTTACACGCCAGATGCGCAGTTGTCATGCTCTTGAGGGCTTCCCGGTTACTGCCTGGCGTCAATCAGGACTGCATCGCCCCCTCCAGGTAAGCTTGGATTACCGCTGGATACCGAGCAGCACGCCTCAGCAGTCCCGCCGCATTGACCATGATGCCATCGCCACGGCGGTCAGGCAGTGCACACCCAAACTTCATGAATACCAACTTGATGTACAGACTGTCCTGGCCCGGAACCCCCCTAGGGATACGAGTGCATTGCATCAGGTGCTGTATGACTGCTGCCTTCGCCACTTCCCAGCCTCGACACAGAGGCGAGAATATGCCCACAACCACGCTGAAGTCCGTAATGTGGTGCACAGCCGCTGGTTGCACCTGCAGAGAGGCAAGTACCACAGGAGGTTTGCAGCTGCTTGCATGTCCAGCGCCTGGCACTGCTGGCATCATTTTGCGAGATTTAGAGCCCTCCGCAGAGAGGCCAACAAAGCATCCAGAACTGCTCGAAGACAACGGTACGAGAACCTGTTGCAAGAGGCGGAGAAATTTGCCAGACAGCAAAACACACATAAGATGTTTTCCATCATTAGGCAATTGGCGCCGAAACAGCCGCATCGCAAAGTCAAGATTTACGGCAAAGAAGGCGAGATTCTCAGCCGTCAAGAGGAGGTTGCATGTCTCAAAAAGCACTTCTGTGATATCTTTCAGGGCGCAAGTTGCGATTGGACTCATCCCATAGAGTCCCCTGCTTCTCCGCCAGCCCCTGAGACAATTTGCGCGGCGCTGGAGCGCATCCCGTTACGCAAAGCGGTCCCTGCACATATGGCTCCGGGCGCAGCTTGGAGAGCAGCTGCACGTCAGGTCACGGACTTGGTTCATCAGGAAGCCTGCAAAGTCTGGGCGGCTGCCTCAGTACCGCAAAACTGGCGTGACGGGTGGCTGGCCCTAGCTGCCAAGCCTCAGAAATCAGGTCGTGGCCCGGCCGATTACCGGCCATTATGCCTGCAGGACCCGAGTGGCAAAGCAGTGATAGGTATATTAGCGGACCAGATCCGACCCACAGTTCGCTTGTATGCCAACAGGTTCCCACAGCATGCATACTTAGCGGGCAGATCAACTGAGGGTGCGTTGCTCAGTGTGTTCCACAAGTGCAGGGAAATCCGTGGCCTCACGCAAGCAGCGGGGAACAGCGTCTTTGCCAGGCGCAGTGGCCATACTGCGGAGCCGTACACAGGTGGGCTGATTTTGTCATTGGACATGACGACTGCATTTGACACAGTTCCGAGAGCGCATGTTCGCGATTCCCTGATTGAAGCTGGCGTTGCACAAAGTGACGTGTCCATCATCATGTCATGGCTCACAGGTGCGACGTACCATCTCAAACATGCTCACATTAACCTGCGTATCATCACGGAGAGAGGCGTGCGCCAGGGCTGCCCACTTTCGCCACTGGTTTGGGCCTGCTTTACATGCTACATTGCTAAACGGCTGACTGACGTGATCTGTCTTGATGACTTGCAGATTTACGCCGACGATTTCATTTGGAGTTGCATTTTCCACACTAAACAGCAATTTCTGCACACACTCAGGACGGTGCCACTCTTCATACAGAAGCTTCGGCAGTATGGACTCAGGGTAAATCTCAACAAAACGGCTGTTTTAATTCGCATGGCCAGGCAAGAGGGCAAAGCTTTACTTAAGCTGCACCTGTGCAAGACCGCCCAAGGCACTTTCCTGAACATCTTGAGTGATAAGCCCCTCCGTATCCCGGTGAAGAAATCGCATGTATACCTTGGATGTGTCATTTCGCTGTTTGATTTTGAAAGCTTGACGGTTCGTCACCGAATCGAGGCCGCTCGGAATCAGTACTCTAGGCTACGTAGTGTTTTGACCTCCACAAGATGCATGAGCATGAAACGCAGGGCAAGGATTTGGCTTGCGTGCATATGGTCAACCTTGACCTACGGCTGGACCTGTTGCGGTTGTTCGGGCTTTCTCTTCACTCAGGTCTGCGGTCTTGTGACCACACAGATGCGAGCCATCGCACGGTCACCACGACACATCGCACACACCACGAATGAGGAAGTCTTTGCTATGTTGGGCTTACCAGGACCGGCTGCGCTGATGCAGCACGCCTTGGAAAACTTGCGCCAGCGCCTTCAGTTTGTCCGGCAGACTGACGACACCATCATGTGCAACCCGACGCTGCATGCTCAGGCCAACTGGGCGTTTGAGGCGCTGACTGATGCCATTGCCAGCAAAGGCAGATTAGAGCGTGTCACCGGAACCCAGGGCGTCGCTTGCACTGAGTGTGGTATCTACTTTGACACTGAAAGTGCTATGCGCAAGCATCGTACGCGCCAGCATCCCGAGGCGACAGGTGTGCAGAAACTTGAACTCAGTCAGGTACGGCGTGAAGTTGTGTGTGTCGACGGAATGCCTGTCTGCCGAGGGTGTGGCAAAGCTTTCCACCATATGCACACATTGCTCAAACATGTGCGCAATCAGCGTTGCCCAGGCTTGCTCAACTTAGCCAATGACAGTTCGCGTGCACCGGATGAACCCGTTCCTGTTGTGCAGCGCGGTGACCTCATTAATGCATGGGGCAAGGGGGGCACTTGTGCGCTTCTCGCCTCGCTCAAGTCACAGCCTGAGCTTAGAAAGGAGCTCATGCAACACTGTTGTCTCTGCCGTCAGTGGTTCTCCGATTGGCGCCACATTAAGACACATATGCAAAAGTCGCACAAGGAGGATTACCAAGCTTGTCATGAGGGTGCAATTGCAGACTGCAGAGGCTTGACTGGGGCCGTGCTCAATCCTTGTGAATACTGTGAGTCCTCTGTAACTAGACGTTCCCGGCATGCTGTAAGCTGCCCTATTCTCTATCAAGTTGCCTTTGCTTGCAGAGTTCATGGCAGACCTCACGAAAGACCAGATCGTCTCACTCTTCGGGGGAGTGCTGCCAGCAGTGAGCTTAGCCGCGGGCTCGCAGAGACCGCCAGCCACCCCGCAACAGGCGGGGAGAGGGTCGCAGAAGTCGGGGTTGACGGAGCGACCACCGAAGTACCACAAGCACCAGACCAATGGCAAAGGCAAAGGCAACGGCAAGGGTCGCTACAAGGACAAGCGGCCCAGAGAGGACTCGGAGCATACTTCGGCTCAGGAGGGAGACAATCTGGATCCTCAGTTGATACCCCTCATTGCTCAGCTTTGCCTTCGGTTCGAAGACGCAATAAACATATTACGGTTGGACCGAGCGTATGTGATGCTGTTCAAAACAAAGTCGGAAGAGTCGATTGTGAAGACCCTCCACGATCTCTCCCAGAGATGGGAGGAACTCAAAGAGGCCAAACAAACGGACTCAGCCAAGAGGATCGCGCTCTTCAAGGGCATGCTGATGGAGCTCCAGACGAGGATCAAAGGCATGATCGAGAAGGAAGACAAGGTCAAGCAGCTGATTCAGATGGGGTGGATGTCCAAGCAAGAGGGTCGGGAGCCGATGTGGCTCCCACTCGTATGGAATGTGGAACAGCAGAAAGACGTGCCGTGCCCCGACATGGGACCCCTCCCCCACACAAAGGCCATGCAAGCTCTGGACACATTGCTGGAATACGCATGCGGCCAGGTGATACACAGATTTCATCCCACGAGGCCACTGGTTCCGGAGCACGCAGGCGAGATCCTGGAGTTCAAGATGGAGGTGAGCCTGAAGGGCGTTGCGCCGACTCAGGTCCACGATGCATTGACGCAACTCAGCAACTCAGCGCTCTGGTTGTTGATCGGCGCCCGGATGCGCCCGGACGGCCTCCGGAGATCAGCAACGGCACAGCAGTTGCAGAAGCTGCTCGCAGGAAGGTGCTGCGCCTAGCACTCCGAAACACTGGAAACACATGTTACCAGAACGCCTTTGTGATGTCCTGGCTTTGGGCCCTTGTGAATGCAAACGCCAATCAGGTGGGCGGATACAACGATGAGGGATTAGGTCGCGGGCGTAATATCATCAACGCACTCCTTACGGGCTCCTGCGACAGGCTCTCCAGCATTTTCGCATGGTCGTCTATCATGCAGAATTGGCCGCGCCCTCAACAGCAGCATGACGTCTGTGCATTTGCGTCACACGCTTTAGCCAAACTCAAAACCCCACTGATGGGGGGCAGCTGGGAGGCTAGGCGCGAGGATCCTGTTTTCCGCGTCGTGGATATGGGGTCCCAAGCTCTGCCCATCACCATGGCCATCCCTGAAGGCAAACACACACTGCGTGAATGCATTGAGGCATGGCAACATCAAAATGCCAAACATGCTTTGGGATATGCTCCAGACTTACTTATGCTCCAGCTCGGTCGCTTCCGTCAAAGATTGCACAGACGTGTTCGCAAATACCAGGGCATTGTGATGCTGCCTTCACGAGTGCAGATGCCGTGCTTTACGGCACCCAATGAGCTCGGCACTCACAATGTGGATTATAGGATCATTTCGGGAGTCTTCCACCTGGGGAACACGCCGGCCTCAGGTCATTACCGGACCTTTCTGAGCGATGCTGAAGTGCGCGGGATTTCGGATAATCCTGGGGAGCCCCATGGTGCTCTCGCGAATGCCTGGGAAACTGATGACGGACGTGTGCCTATCAAGCTTGACCATACTTTAGTTGACACTGTGCTGACTAACACCTACACGGTGTGGCTCGCAAAACTGTGACTTTCGAGCAGCATTCCGAGTGCGCTACGAAGGAGGCTGATTTCCGAACAAGTGTTTAAACAAACTTTTCTAGGTTGTAGGCATGCTGCGGTACGCCGCGATGCCTGAGCTCTGGTAGCCTGCAGCTACTAGTAGCGAGGTAGTACGAGAGTGCACATAGCTGATGTCACCACAGTCCACGGGTTGTCTCGGTTGTTGCCGTTTGTTCTCCGTTTTGTCGTGGTCGTTCGTTTCGTTCGTGTTGGGTTGCTGCTCCTCCTCTTCCTCCCCTTCTCCCCCCCCCTCCCTTCTTCCTCTCCCCTTTCTCTCTCTCTCCTCCTCTCTCTCTCTCTCTGCCCTCTTTCTCTCCTCTCTTTCCCTTCCCCTCTCTCTCTCTTTCTCTCTTTTCTCTTTGGGACAGTGGTGATATCAAACTTGTGCATTGCCACCATACGAGTGGCCGGGACAAACCTGCTCCACTTTCGCTTGCCGTCCTACTTGAGCGGTGCGTGTGCAAAGCAAAAAGGCCTGCGCCTCGACCAGCTGCTGGTGCCGCCGGCGCAGCAGGGGATTGAGGTTATAGCTGGGATACATCCGGCTGAACTGCCGCAGCATTTGCGGTTCGTTGCGCCTCTCGAGGGGCATCATCGTTCCTTTTACAGTTCGTGAGTGTTTCGTGCGAGCAGCTCCATGTACCTGTCCTGGCGCTGCATGTACCTTAGGGCACGCTCTTGCGCAGGCGTCATCCTGACGGGCTCCGCGGGGGGCTCGGGCTGGAGCTCCGGCTTCGGAGGAATTGCTGCATGGCGTTGGAGGAATATCGGGGGGAGCACGCTCGGGAGACGGTGCTGGGACGGCCTCTTCGACGGGCACTGTCTTGGGCGGCCTCGGCTTGTTCTTCGAGCCCGGCGGCCGGCCACGGCGCTTGGCGGCTGGGGGCTCGGCGGGATCGGCGGCTCCGGCACGGGTTGCGGAGCAGGCTGCTCTGCAGCTGCCGCAGGCTCTGGCGCAGGCTCAGCCAGAGGCTCCAGAGCCACGGGGGGTTCCGCATTCTCGGCCATTTCCTAGATTAAACATATTAATTCTCGTAATCCAGAAAAATCGCAAAAGAAACGCTGGTCCCGCGGGTATTAACCGTGTTGCCGTCGACATCTGTCAATTTAAACCGCAGGGTGCGCAGGGTAATGGGCCCGTGGAGTTTCACGAAATGGCCCTCGTCTGTTCGGGTGGACATCACAAAACCAAGGCCAGCGTTAATAATGCATTTGCAAAGGATATCATTGCCCAGAGGCCCCTTGATATCCGCCCCGGTGGCCAAGGTGGCGCAGCGCAGGAATAGCTCGCTGTAGGGATTCATGGTGACAAAGGTGAAGATCTGCAGCGCCCCATCGATGAAGCTGGGGCCTAGCAAGTGGTTGATGGAGAGCGGGCGGCTGGGCGTGGCGCCGGCGGGATAAGAACCGGTGCCGGGGAAGAGGCTCCGGATCTGCTGGTCGTTCAAAATGCGGCGGTTGCCGTCGTAGGCCACGCCTATTTCATTCGTCTGCTCCACATAGGTGGCGCTCGCGAAGTTGCTGCTGATCCAGGCGGCCAGTCGCGACCCCGTGTAGGCCCCGATGGGGAGCACCGCCCAGTTGAGGGTTTGCAGCGCTTCGTCGATCCAGTACAAGTACTGTCCCCGATCCGTGGAGAGAAAGGCATCCGCCACCCTGAACTTGAAGACGGAGAGCTTGGCTCCCGTTTGCAGGTGGAGGGTCTCCCCGATGTCAAATTCGAAGCTGGAGTCGTCCCCGGCGGTTCTCTTGCGACTATCGACATAGATCGTTGTCGACATCCTTTTCTTACGTCGCCAGAAGCTCCGCGCCGTCGAGGCGTCGGACTCGTTGCTGATCTGCCGCGCCCGCTCCGGGTAGGGCAGCCGCCGCGGGTCATACACGCCGCTGCTGCTGCAGCACCTGATGTTGTGGCACTCGCTCTCGCACAGCGGGCTGCCCCCCAGCAGTTTGCCCACCACTTGGCTCAGGATCGTCCCCATTTTCGATCACGAAGCGTTCCTCCCAGCGCTTGTAGAACATTTCGGCTCGGGGCTTCAGGTAGTGGATGAAGAGGAAGCTGTAGGGCTCCCTCGTCGCTTCTTCGTAGATGGCCTGCAGCTCCTTTTTCGGCAGCAGGGCCGTGAGCTCCTCCAGGACGGCTTCCAGCTCCAGCTGGTTGCGGAGGCGCCAGACGCACATGAACTGCATGTTCACCCGCACGGCGGCGCTGATGAGCCGCAGCTTCTGGGAGGAGACCCAGGTCGAGATCTGCATGTGGCGGCCGCGGATGAAGAGCGTGTCCAGGGCCCCGTCGCCGGTGCGGCGGTGGAGCTCCGGTTGGTCCGCGAAGTCGTCGATCACGATCAGGATCTGGTAGAGCTTCTTGAAGCCCAGCTCCTTCGTGGTTCGGGTGATCTTCTTCTGCTGCTGGATGATGGTGCGCAGGGCCGCCTCGTCCCACTTATCGAAATAAACCTGCTCCCGGTCCGTGTTGACGCCCATGTCGTGCTCGATGAAATGCTTGACGGGCTTCCAGGCATCGTCGATGTCAATGCTCGGAGACATGATAATCACTCTTTCAAAAACGGATTCACCGCTGGCCGTGCGGTACTGGTCCAGGATGGCTGAGATCAGAGCCACCGTCTTCCCCGATTTCGAGGGCCCGAGGAAGATGCCCGTGCACGGCACGCGGGGGACGATCGGGTCGCGAGGCTGTTTTGAGGTGTACTCGGCGGTCGGGAAGAGCTTCACCTTTCCCATTTACAGGCTCTCCGCGATCTCCTGGCAAAGTCGGGGCGGCAGGGAGTACAGCTGGTCCCGGGTCTGGCCGGGCCAGTGCCGGCTGCCCTGCCTCTGGGCGGTTTCGGGGTGCTGGCCGTCCCGGAAGGCTTTGCAGCGGCCGCGCTTGGAGCAGACCGCTTGGCTGGGAACCCAAGGCAGGTTGTTCCAGATTCGGGTGGTCTTCTGGTATTGAAAGCCGTACATGCAGTAGGACACGTCGTCGTAAGGCAGCGCCTGCATGTAGGGCCGACTTTTGAGCAGGCCCGTTCGCGGGTTCTCCACGGCCCACCACCGAGGTCGGAGGTACCCGATGATCTCGATGGTCTTCAGGACCAGCCGGTCGCCGTCCTCCAGCCGTCGGGGTCGTCGGGTCAGGGCCCTGGAGAACTCCGTGCAAACGGGGGAGGCCCAGACAAAATCGAAGTGCTCGGGCGGGTAGGTCCTGTAGTCCCACTCCTGAATGTCGGCGCAGATGGTGGGCCGAGTCGTGGCGTCCGCGTCAAGACTCGTTACCTCCCACCCAAGGGCCTCGAAGGCACGGCCCACCGACTTGGTGCCGCTGAACAACTCCAACAGACGACGCATTTTCGTGTGGCGATGACAAAAGCCACAGGCCGACAAAGACGCCCGCCAGCGCGACGGCCGCGCAGATTCGTTCGGGCGACGGCATTTTTTATGTTACATGTATAAAGGAGCAGCATGGAGCCGCAAAAGCAAGCCACCTGCGAATCGGCAATTCAGCTCGGCGATCTGACGATCAATGCGAAGGGCGGCAAGTACGTCCCCTTGCGCCGGAACGGCGGTCCGCCGGTGTGGCAGTCGGCGGAGTGGCAGAAGATCATCTGGCACCCGACCGCCTTCAACGACCCGAGTGCCAAGCGCGTGGGTCTGTGCCTGGAGCCCGACGAGGCCTCCCAGGCGCAGCCCCAAGAGATCGAGCAGCACCTCGCCAGGGCCTTGACGGCGCTGTCGCTTTCTGAGCCGAAGGTCTTCGGCAAGTTTCTGACCGAGACGGACGTGAAGGACCGCTTCCAATCGTGCCTGAAGACGAGCCCGCGGGGCGGCTCGTACCTCAAGCTGAAGATGGACTGGGGGCGAGTCCGCATCTGGGGGCCCAGCCAGGAGGAGCTGGCGGAGCCCGGCGACCTCGCCGGCAGGGAGTGCAGGGTGCGGTGCGAGCTGCGCCAGGTGTGGGTGATGTCCAACCAGTGCGGCCTACTGCTCGAGGTGACCGATCTGCAGCTCAAAACCTACGAGGCCGCCGGTCCCGTTTGCCCCTTCTAGAGCACGCTCAGGAGCTCGCTGCTGGTGGCCTGGCTGGTGCCAACGTAGAGGTGCCTGAGAGTGAAGTGCGGGCTCTCGGTGTCGCACAGGAAGACCCGCCCCTCGAGCGTCAGGCCCTGGCAGGAGGCGTAGGTGATGGCGTGGCACAGCCGGGTGTGCTTCAGGAGGGCGGCGTGGGTGAAGGATTCGCCGCCATCCAACACGATTTTTTCGGGCCCCACTTCGGTCACGTGCACGTAGATGCCCTTGGTGACGCGGCCGCCGGCCCCGATGAGCTTTAGGCCGGGCCAGACCCGCATGGTCTGCGGCATGTTGGTGGTCGCCGGGAAATGCCCGGGTCGCTCCTCATGTTCTCCGTGAGCTCGTGGTGCCAGCCGTCGGTGAGGTCGTGGAGCAGCTGGCAGTGCTTGAGCTCCCGCAGCACCGGGGTGCCTTGTCCATGATGGCGGGGAACTGGCGGAAGTCGCCGAGCAGCAGGAACTTGATTTTCCGGTTGATGGAGACGCAGGCGATGTCGTTCCACAGCCCCGTGTCCAGCTGTGTGATCTCCTCTGCCACCAGCCAGTCGATGTTGCAGTACCCGTTCCGGACGGTGCTCCGCGCCCAGTGGTCGGCCGTCTCCGCCTGCATGCCGAAGTTCTGCACGGAGGAGTGGGTCTTCGTGATGATCTTGACCTTGTACCCTTCTTCCCGGAGGGCGGTCACGATCTGGCGCGCCAGGTAGGTTTTCCCGGTGCCCGGGTAGCCCGTCAGCAGCAGGCCTGTGCCCTCGAGGCAGTGGAGCACGGGGTTGTGCGCGACCTTCCAGTTCACTGTGCTGCTGCAAACATACTTGGCCTCGATGTGGGGGATCCGGTACTGGCCCTCGAGGCCCTTGACCTCCTCGCACCGGTACACGGGCGTGCCGTCGGGGTGCTTTTC